GAATATTTTTCTCAGAATTCAAACTTTTTTTATAGACTGTCAGATTTTCTTTCTTTTTTTTTTCTTCTCACCAAAGGGCCAAATCCTCCATAAATATAAAATAAAATTCAGGTGTAACAACAGCATGTAGGTTCACACTAACATATAAAAACTATTAAAATATATCAAATGTAAACAAAAACAAACATTAAGAATATACTGTACAGTAATTATGAGATTATAACTTGAAAAATATTGTGCAACTATGCAAGGAATGTGCAACTGAGTAGGTTTTCCGTTCTTAATTATGTAATGGTCATTTGTAATTGTGCATTAACAGGCTTTATGATTGCACTGATCTTACCTGGTTGCATTTCAGGAGAAGTGGCTGATATAGCCAGAGAGTTGAGCTACTGTTTACATTCACTGAGTTGTAAACAGTGAATGTTTGACGTTATGTTGATACAGCTGCCAGCGGTTGGCTGCTGAGTTATTAAATGAAGCATAACCTGTATCTCCGCTGTCAGCTCGGCCCCACAGACTATGGGCACACAACATTCCCAAAATATTGTGCAGGTTTTTAAAAGTGTTTTTAGTTTACTGGGATAATAAGCTATTTTTTTCTGTTTGCTTCTTCAGATTCACAGCATTATGTTGAGAAGGAGGAGGTTCTTGTTGGCCGGCAGCTTGGGGACCAGGAGAGGAGCGTCACATTGGACCAGGAGGAACCAGAACCCTTGCAGATCAAAGAAGAACAGGATGAGCTAGAACATCTGGAGATTAAAGAGGAAGAGGATGAACTCTGCATCAGTCATGATGAAGCACGATTTGAGCTGAAGCTGGAGACTGAGACCGTTATGGTGACTCTTTGTAATGAGGAAAAACACTACATTGGACCAGAACCAAAGTGGAACCAGGTCATCTCTCAGGATCCTTCTGAAACTGAGATCCAGCATCAGGAAGGAAGCAGTGATGAAGACTCAGAATCAGAGACAGATGAAGAAGAGCAAATACAAAACAAGAGATGCCAACATAATAACAATGTGTGTTCTTGTGAAATTGGTGCCGAATTTACTCCTCACAATAGTCTTTTGTCTCAGAGCATGGGAAATCGCACAAAGGAAAATCCTTTCTCATGTGTGACATGTGGAAAAAGTTTTTCTCAAAAAAGTTTTTTGACCAACCATGTGAGGGTTCACACCGGTGAAAGGCCTTTCTCGTGTTCAATTTGTGGAAAAGGTTTTACTCAAAAAATTCATTTAACTCATCACTCCACAACTCACACAGATGAGAAGCCTTTCTCATGCTTGACCTGTGGGAAAACATTTAGGTTCAAAAGCAGTTTGAATATACACGTCAGAATCCACACAGGTGAGAAGCCATTCCCATGTATGACCTGTGGAAAAGGCTTTAATCAAAAAGGTAATTTGATTTATCACATGAGAATTCACACAGGTGAGATGCCGTTCTCATGTAGCATTTGTGGAAAGGGTTTCACTCAAAGAAGTCAGTTACAACTACACATGAGAAGTCACACGGGTGAAAAGCCTTTCTCCTGTGTGACCTGTGGAAAAAGCTACAGTCAAAAAGGAAATTTAACTTGTCACATGAGAACTCACACAGGAGAGAAGCCCTTTCCATGTCTGACCTGTGGAAAAAGTTTCACTATCAAAAGTCTTTTAAGCAAACACCTCCGAACTCACACGGGCGAAAGGCCTTTCTCTTGTGTGACCTGTGGTAAAAGTTTCCTTCAAAAGACTCATTTAACGGATCACCTGAGGATTCACACAGGTGACAGGCCTTTTTTGTGTATGACTTGTGGAAAAGGGTTCCTTCAAAGAACTCATTTAACAGATCACATGAGGATTCACACGGGTGAGAAGCCTTTCTCATGCAACACTTGTAATAAAACGTTTAGCCTAAAAAGTAATTTGAATTTACACATGAAAACTCACACAGAATAGATGTCTTCCAAAAAACGTTCAACCAGTACTGGAAAGATCTGTTATAAAACACACCATTTTTCACATACATATGCAAAGTTATGTAAACATCTCACCATCCCAGCCTAGACTCCTAGGAAAAAGTCTAAAACTGACTTGGATTGGATAGACTGTTCTCCTAATAATTTCCAATGCAGTGTTTGTGTGTGTGTGTGTATACATATATATATATATATATATATATATAT